GACGAACACATATTTTTAGATTTGTTAATGAGTGCATTGCAAATAGAGTTCCCAGATATCTTTTTAATTATTTTAACGTAAGAATTCGCGACAATTCACCGCTACAATACTAGAAATAATGATGGTCTTATTTTAGAAAAAGTTAAATTAGAATGCACCAAGCGCGCTTTTTTTTAATAAAGGTGCAAAAATCTTTAACGATTTTAAATAATCTTTAATAATTCGTAGAATTTATTATTGTCCGAATTTACTTTCGTTTATTGTAACTATTTTATAATTTACTCCAAACTGATTTCTATTTATTTTTTAACAGCACCTGCATTGATAGCAGTTTTCTTTCCTAAACTGAAGCAGCAATCCTGTATAAATATGTTTAAATTATTATTATTGTTATTATTATTATTATTATTATATGTGATACATAGTTATCCTCATGAGCGGTAAACTTTCACACAAATTCAAGAAGAATGGTGTGATACAGCCAGCAGAATAACTGGTAGAAAGACGCAAGGTACACTTGTTAGCTCGGTGATTTCCCCTGACGTCATCAACACATGCTTCCAAACCATCAACAGTGATGACGCATATGAGGCTCCTACGTGTCTGCAAATACCAGAAGGAACCCGTCTCCCAACTGTGAATGTGATGCAAGGAACTTACTGACGCATCAGAAAGGAACCGCTTTGGGGCCTGATGAGTTTCCTTTCTGGCTTTGGCGCGATTACTCACCCCATCTTGCACCAGTGATCACCAAAATTTTTTCAGTTGCTCACTTAAGCATCTAAATGTTTCATTCTTGTGCAAAATTTGCAAATGCCTCGCCCATCCCTAAGGAATCTTCTCTGACTGGATGCAATCAACTTCGACCTATCTCATTAACCAACATCACAATAAGAGTCTTTGAGCGTCTTGTCAGCAAACAAGAACTATCTCCTATCCTTAAGTCAGCAATGGGACCTGACCAATTCGCTAATAAAAAGGGACACAACACAACTATGGCCATCATTTTTGGCTTAAGCAACTTGACAAGGATGCGGATTTTGTCACAGCCTTTTCATTTGATTTTAGCAAGGCTTTTGACTCAGTCTCTTATCGCGTTCTGTGCAAAAAAGATGATGTCGTATGACATTAAAAACTGGAAAATGAGCTTCCTGTGTGATCGCTGACAGAGTGTAGGGGTTTGATGGAGTGGTTACCAGTTCCCTCAACAACAATAGAGGGGTTCCCTAGGGGACTGTGCTTGGACCCTTATTGTTTTCTTTTATGGTTAATTGACATCAAACCTGTAATCCCCTGTAACCAGATGAAGCTGAACATGAAAAAGACATTTGAGATGGTTGTTAAGGGTAAAACCAGAATGCCCCTCCTAAGGTCCAAGGATGGAATAGCTGGGAGGAGTTAACTAAAGCTGTTTGGAGTTACAGTAAGTGAAGATCCACGAAATTGGGACACTCGATTCGAAAATATGCTTAGTAAGCGAGTTCTAGATTGTACATTCTTAGAGTTTGTAAATACTACGGCTACTCACTACAAGAGCTTACACTGCTATTTGACAGCCTTATAATGTCACTTTTCACCTATGCGATTGAGGTGTGGGGTTGTGCCCACTATAGTAAATATCTCTCCCAAATTGATAGGTTTTGCAGGCAGGCTCTACGTTATGGATATACCAGCAAATATACACCCATAACTTATTTCATTAAAATCAAAGATAGGCAAGTATGGGAGAAGATAACCACTGACAGTATTCATCGCCTTCATGAACCCAGGCTTCCACCCCAAAGAACAAGAATCCTTAGGAAAAGGGGACACCCTTGTATCCTGCCACGTGTCAGAACTGAATGTCATAAATGCTGTTTTGTGAACAGATGCTTTTTCAATTTTGTCTAATTGCTACTGTTATTGTAAATAGTTTGTAATTAGTTAGTGATAGCAGTTAGTTATATGAAATTGAAAGTCCAGATGTATGAATCTGGCCATGTTTCTTTTGGTATTTATTACTTTTTCATGAATAAAGAAGATCACTACTTTATGCCGTCGTCGTTTGCTACTCTTTGTTGGGTCTTGTGCGGTTTTGCAATCATCTTATGATCCATGATTTTCAATGTATGAAAATCATATGTGTGCTGTGCTTTTAGGAAATGTATGAAAATGATCCTCAAAGTAATAAACAATACTTATGTAGTAGAACCAACTAAGCTAACAAGCCAGCTGGCAGCTTCACGGGTTTATTCGAACCAAGTTAATGACCAGCTTCCAGTTAGCTTCTTAGTTCAGTTGGTACTACTACATAAGTAGTGTTTATTACTGCGACGATCGTCTTCATCCATTTCTTAAAACTGCAGTATCGCAAAAGTCACGGGTTCAAATCCCGTACGAACCTAAACTTTTTCAGGTCTTACTTCCACAATACATAAGTAGTGTTCATTACGCAAGTAATCTGGATATATCAACAAAGTTGAAATGGTAAATTGGCCACCGTAACGATTACAAAAGCTGACGTTTCGAGCATAAGCCCTTCGTCGGAGCAAAGCCCTTTCGCTCTGACGAAGGGCTAATGCTCGAAACATCAGCTTTTATAATCATAACAGTGGCCAATTTACCATTTCAACTTTGTTGATATATTCAAGTAATAATCACTGCAAACTTATCTCCAACAGCTGTAACTTATTCTATCACTTCATTAGTGGTTTCTGGACTTCAGCCATTTGATGCAGTTCAAATATGTCATCATTCTATGGTGGGTATTACCAAAACTTATCAGTTCAACTTTTGAATCATTTTCCTTTCAGCATTGATCACATAAGCAGTCACCTTAAAACTGTTTTTTTTTGTTTTTTTTTTTAAAAGCCTCTTCTGTAAAAAATAGAAAAATGTTCTCCTCTACCTAAATCAAAGTTCCACTTAAGGCATTCTACTTTCCAGCCTGCTGTTGAGGGAAAAAGAAAACTTTTTTAGTCAACATGATTACAGGTGCTGGAATTTGTTTCTTTCTATTGTATGACTCAAACTCCCTTGCAACTTTATGGTTTACTCTGATCAACATGCTGACAACATCTTCAGTATGGGCATAAGCACTAAAAATATCAGCTATAGCTTGGACAAACCAGGAACCTTTGGCCAAATTGTTCCAAGACACATATCCCGGAACAGTAGAGTATGCAACCAACATGTCTGCTTCAGCAGGCAGCGTTTCTGGTTCTGGGTCTGGCTCTGGTTTAATTGTCTTAGGTTGAACGTCTGGTACAGCTGTGCGAGGAAAGCCTGCATTTGCCTCAGTCAGTGGAGCTTCTATGGGAGACACATGCCCACTATCAATCACATCCACTCCTCGATCAAAATCACTTCCGCGACAAGCTTGGATAAAAAACATTTTTGGTTTCCCAATAAGATCTTTCGCTGCATAACCATTGAACAATGCCAGAAGATCTGGAATCGACACAAGCACTCCATCCACACCATAAATCTGCCCTTCCAACCCATGACTAAGGAGACAGACAACAACAGAATCTGCCATTTCATGGTCATTCAATTTTGCAAACTGGAATAGAGTTTCTTTGAGCTGTTTTGAAGACTGATTTCTGACCATTTTAACTGTGTACTGAAGTTTAGTAAACAACTCGTCAAGTTTTTTAGCATCCACATCAGAGCCACCTCTTCTGCTAAGGTACTCAAAGTCTACGTTGTTGATGATCAAACACAAGCCATGAGGTTTACACTTCATGGAGTAAACCAAGTCATTATCATCATCAAAACCACGCTCAGCATTCTTCTTATCATTCGATGAAGTAGAGGCATTGGACTTGATAGCCACTTGCTCTGGATCAATTGGTCTGGTGCCGTCACTTCGCTCCAGTGAGAGGCTGCCTCTATTTCCATCCTGGGTTGAACTTGACACTGCTCCTTTAAAATAAGAACAAAAGAAATATAAATTTCTCTTAAAAAGCCAACCCACTGCGTTAATTAGACATCATGATCATAAAATAATCTAACCACCAGCCAAAATTCTCCCACTAACTCTTGATGACCTGAGCTATTTCAATTGCTCACATGCCAAGAACATTCACTTTTCAATACATACTCTTTGCATAAGATTCTGGTAGGAGGGGAGGGTTGGGGAGGACACAAGGTGCACAAGGGTAGGTAACCACCTACCTTCACATGGAACATCAAAGAGTTCACTTCTGGTTTTAATCATTTGAACCCCTGCATTCATTTATACAATAAGCTGAATTATACAGTATACATTTTGATTGATTCCTATTCATGATTTATTGGAGGACACATATAGACTGAGATGACATTACCATTATGAACATTTTGCTTTTTAACATATAAAACAAATAGATCCCATTTTGTGGAGTGTCTGTACATTAAAAGATCACAGAAGACATCAAAATTTGGTAAGAACATCAGTTACACTTGGCTGGACCTTGGGTGCAACTTCTTTGATCTGACCACAGTCATTTTAAAGGAATTTATAGTCTTTTACTGGACAGATGCATGACAACAAGAAATCTATTTATCAAACCATTTAACTCCTAAGATCTGATTATTAACTCTCCCATGTAGCTGCTTCACATTCCCTTGCAAATTATTTTAGAGAATTTGGAGTTAAATCAAAATAACAACTTGTATCTGATGTGCTTGGGTATTCTCATTACCTCTTTCCTGGATAATGTTTGGATATTATCAGAAGTTACATGTTCATCATTTTTGGGAGTTGAAAGGGTTGATGGATGCTCTAATACTTAAAAATTCAACGAGTGGCTACACTGCCATCCATTACTTCAACAATTTTTTGGAAAAAAAGTACTAAATAAGCAGTCTGAGGTTCATAAACATTATGCAGCTGAAATTGATGTTGTCTCCCATCTTCCAACCTACAACGAAAACACACTCGCAACTTGTACACTGATACAAAAAAAAATCAAAACTTTTCATGGAAACTGAAAAATTGGAGCTGTCTGAAATGTTTAGGGCCAAGGGAAAATTTCACTAGAACATTGATGAATAAGAATTTCATTTCTTGCTGGTGAAAATCAGAGCCAAATAGTTAAAATTTAATAAAAAACGATTCGTAAAAATTAATATGCTCAACCTCAAAAACAGAGTTCCTAATACCCTATTGAAAAGAGAAAGTTAAATGTAATACTGTAAGTCACAATACAAGATGTCACAACAAACGTTCATAATTTACCAGAGGCAGATGATTCATTCGGCCTCAATAAATCTAAAAGGTGGCCTTGTCCGTCAGTTTCGTCAAGAGCTCGGCAAAACACGTCAAAAGCTTTCGGTCCACGGCGAGGAAGAATGTCCAGAAGCTTTTCCGCTTGAGCTCGACGTGTGGGTTTTGCCTTGATGGTTTCCACATCATTTTCCGATATAACTCCCTCCTGATATAAATAATTGGAAAGCTGGGTAGCTTCCAAGTCTTCCACTAGTGTCATCCTGTTCTTTCTCAACAAATCTTTGTGCTTTTTATCCATTTTTTACAACAGTTATTTTCTCCGTTACGTACCCCTAAAACCTATCTAAACGAAAAACGATTTTTCTTCTAACGGGACCTCCAATTGGTCAGATAGCGATTAAAGTTTACCAGCCAATAGTAGAAAATGTCTTAAATTGATGACGAGAAGAAAACCTCTGTTTCTTGCGGTCAGTGGTAAATACGATGAGAAACGTGGACATGTGTGTAAACCAGTACGCAGAGTATTCAGAGTTTGCGAAGTAACCCTCATCAGGGAGTGTCAGATTATTTCAGCTCAAGTTTTCTCCAAACCAATTTGCCATTAAAACCCAGAATTGTCTCCTAAGGTCGCCTTTTTTTCAAGTTACCATGGTCGCCCGTGTTATTCAAGTTACCATGGCTGAGAAAACCATTGATAAAATTAAGACACCTACCTCTCTGACTTGGATCTGTGATCACTGCCCGGCATTCCAATGGGCATTCGTATCGTACTCCACATCGTGAAAATCACGCTGATAAATGGTTATTTCAGTGATCTGAGGTTGGTGCAGTAATCTATATTATTTTCGGATACAATGTATATACGAAGTTCATATATTTTGAACTGCGGTATTAGATACGTATGATGCACGATCCTCGCAGTAGAGAGCGCTATTTATGCAAGAGCGAAAATCACACCTGAAAAAATCAGGCCTGTACGGGATTCGAAACACTGACCTCTACGATACCAGTGCAGCGCTCTACCCGAGCTAACAAGCCAACTGGGAGCAGGCCGTTGATAGCATAAATTTTTTTCAGGTCTGATTTTCTTGAGGTCTGATTTTCTTGAGGTCTGATTTTCTTGAGGTCTGATTTTCTTCAGGGCTGATTTTCGCTATTGCATAAATAGCACTCTCTACTGTGAGGATCGTGCATTATACGTATCTAATACTGCAGTTCAAAATATATTAACTTCATATATACATTGCATCTGATTTATCATCACGGGTTTATTACGAATCAACTTAACGGCCTGCTCCCAGTTGGCTTGTTAGCTCAATTGGTAGAGCGCTGCACTGGTATCGCAGAGGTCAGTGGTTCGAATCCCGTACATGCCTGATTTTTTTCAGGTCTGATTTTCGCTTTTGCATAAATAGCGCTCTCTACTGCGAGAATCGTGCATCATACCTATATTATTTTGGACGCATAAGCTTAATATGAGGGTCCCCAATGGAGTTCTTCAATCCCGCGATCCCGACTAAAATTTTCTCTCAATCCCGTAATTCCAACGGCCAATCCCGATCACGATCATAACAGTTTTTAGACGATTGTAACGTTTTTAGATAGACTAAACACCTGATTTTTTTCATGAACTGAGAACATCAATTTCTTTATAAATTCTCGGGACATCACGGTTCAGGGTTCATTGAAGTGATTATTTCTCGAATCCCGCCCCTCAAAATCACCGATTCCCTTGTCCCGTTCATGTTCATGACAATCGTGAACCTCGCTTCCTTCCTACTCTTGGTTCCCGGATCTCGGCCCTCAAATGAGCCCAGACCTGGATCCCGGAAAACATACCGGAGACCCTCTAAAATAAGTAATACGTTTGAAAATAGGTTCGATGAAAGGATTTTGTGGTGAAGTTGATATTAACGATGGCCTTCTCAAACCTTGCACCATAAAAAGACCTCCAAACTGGAATTCAAGGAATTCTTCGAACTGGTTGCGTCAAACACCATTGTGAGAATGATGGAGAAATCGGCATTTTTCTTTAAACAAATACCAATCGAGATCTCGTTGAAAGTTTTTACGCGAAGACGATTCAGATTCTTCACCTTTATTGTACATAATTCCCGGCGAAAATGCATCGGAAGCTGGTAGGGTTCTAGTCCAGGGTAAAATGCAGTGGTTTTCTTCTCGCTCCCGACAAAATCGGAAAATTACTCTTTATAAACCAAACAGCAGCTCGATCTGAAATTAGACTTTCGAACTCTTTTTGCTCGATTGTAATGGTAAATCGCGGCGAAGGAGAAATTGTTATTTAGAACCATTAAAATGAGTCAGTCTTAGGTTCTCAAAACGATTAAAATTTATTTTGAACCTTTCTGTTTACTGTAACAGGACGCGGGAAAAATTAATTGTAAACTCTATTGGAAATGGCCAAATTTTCAGCCGTTAGTCGTAAATGCGCCTTTAGGCTCCCAGTAAATCAGAGTCTGTTTCTGTTGCCAACACTAAGGAAGCGACGCTTGAGGGAGCTAGTTTTAATTCTTGTCTATCAAAAATTGGACAATCGTAAGCAGTAGTTCACGTTTAGACATTTCTTGCATTAGTCCTTTTACGTGTTTTGTTTCATCTTTCTGTTCACGCACGTTTCCAGCGCGAGGTATACACTCTATTAATCGAATTGTCACTGTGACGTTTAATTGCAATTCATTAAGAACATGGATTGAACACGATCAAACTAGCGCCACTGTGCAGTAGTGGCAGGCAAAGATAATCCATCCTAGAATGGATTTTTTGCCAGAAATAGTCATTTTAAAAGTTTTTTCTTTCCTTCCTGTTGGGGATCTGGGGAAGGCTGCTGGAGTGTGCAGGTATTGGCGCCGGCTAGCGTACGACCATTCGCTTTGGAAGGCTGTTAACTTGAAACGACAAGCTGCAAAACTCGACGAGGATACCTTGCATATGCTCATAAGGACAAGATTCTCTCATTCTCTATCCATTCTTCACTTGGGAGGCTCTAAAATTTCACTCGAACTTCTTAGCGAGCTGAACAGGAAATGCAAAAGTTTGAAATATTTGATATTCAGCCGTGGGTCAAAATTACGACCGCCGACTCCGCCTCCGAAATACACCGAAATTACATACGAATTTCCTTCTCAACTGGAATTGGTGGAGTTGAGGCCCATTAAAGGAGACTTTGCCTTCTTAGGGCGAATAACAAGGCACTTTTGTGAGGTGAAATACTTAGGTATTGGAAACAGTTCCTCGAAGGGTGCGGTCCCGTCTCTGTTCACCAAAATGCAGAGATTGGTTATACTTGATTGCACGAACTGCGATACAATTACAGACGAGGTTATTGGAAAAGTGGCCGAATGCTGCCCGTTACTGGAATCATTTTGGTTAAACGGATGCAAATATGTCTATGGGCGGACGTTTTGCACGCTTTTTCGATCGTGTTCTCGATTAACAACGCTGCTTCTTCGTTACACGCCTGTGCGCGACGACTGTTTCGTGATCAACGAATGGAAGTACGTCCCCGTGGAGGAACTGGATATTTCAGCGTGCTCTAACATAACACAGATAGGCCTCATTAGCCTGGTCACAAACGTGAAAACTCTGCGGTATCTCAACTTATCTTACTGCGGCGTCGGCCGAGCTGTAACAGACGCAGTTTTGTTACAGATCGCGCGACAAGAAACAGGAACAAACCTAGAAATGTTAGATGTTAGATGGAGTTTGACCCTGACGCCTGAGGCTTTATACATTCTATCCCGAGGCTGCCCTAAACTGAAATGCTTAGGAGTGTATCAATCATCAAGCATCAACCCATCGGCCATGGCAGAGGTCTTAAGGATGCTTCCAAGGTTAGAGGTTCTGGAATACGGCGCTTTCGGCAAAGCCAGTATTTCCGAGAGTATGTTCTTTCCAAACCTCATACGATATTGTGAGTTGCTCGAGGCTGTGTCGCTTATAAACTTTGCCTCGATGGATTCCGTAGCGGACGCTGTATTAATGAACGCATTGGTCGAAAATTGTCGTTGTCTGAAACGTATAAACCTTTGTGAACCAGACCCTACTTTACTGGAACTGGTGCAAGAATTACCCCCTTCTTCTAAAGCCAAGGTGACTCAAAGGTGGCAGTGTGTTCTGCCTCCACCCGACCACACCCTAGATGCGATTATTGCCAAATTGAGATACAGCCCACCTCATCCGCCCTCAATTTAGCGGTTTACATAGAAACGGTTTGCTACAACGTGAACTTATTTATCTTCAAGTACCATATTTGTACTGCTGTGCTGGTTTTGTGATATTGCCACAAATGCAACTTTCACTGAAAATTTCTTTAAAACTGAAACGATATCGTTCAAGTAATCTTCGATTTTCATTTCTTCTTGTTAAAATTTTCATCATTTATCCGAGCGATGCTGGTTATAATAACGAATGTTCATTCGGTCCGCGATTCGTTTCAGGCCGGGTTAGAAAATATTTGTACGTTGTAAGGGAAAGGTATGCGTTTTAATTCAGGAGTCAAAACTAACTGACAATAATAATTCATGAATATATGAATATTTAGGAATCATTTTGTGTTTATCGATGTAATAAAATGACACGTATTTTTCTCAAATTTGGTTTCCCTTATCGATGTTAAACTTGCCAGAGTTTGGAAAAGGTTAAATACAGAAAAGTTACGCGCGGCCATGAGGGACAGGGAAGGTATAGCACAGAATGAGAAGTCGAGCTTTCCGATCGAGTACAGTCTCCCCTTCTCCATTCAAAGTTTGGTTATGTTGGAGGTTCGAACTAAACAAGTTTAAAATAGGATGGAGTTTATTTGGTAGTACGCGCATCTCCACTAACTGCACCTGATAGAGAAGTTTTAAAGCGGCCATCATCTCTGTTAAGTGATGCTAGAAAAGTATACTGGCAATGCCTCACTAATTCGTCTTCGCGATCGAAGCATAGCGGAGACTGAATAAAACAAAGTGCATATTTATTAGAAATAGTGGTAAAAGCAGTTTTAGGAATTCACACCCTAGATTATCATAAATTACCAAAAATGATCGATGACACCAAGTTATATATGTCATTCCGACCCCAGGACTGCGGAGACACCATGTCTGCTATGAACGAGGACCTTGTCAGCATACGAAACTGGTGCTTTGATAATGGACTGCTCTTAAACTCTGACAAAACCAATTTAATTATATATGGAAGTAGACAGGCGACTGCAAAAGTCCCGGAATTTCGCTATTAACTCTTGGGAAAAGATCTTAAACCCACAGAGACTGTAAAAGATCTCGGAGTGATTTTTGGCAAAAATCTCACCTTTAACGAACATGTCATCAAAACTGTATCCTCGTGTATGTCCACATTGGGACAAATAAGTCGCGTAAAGCACGCATTTAGGAGAGATATACTGATTATTATTATCAATTCCTTAGTATTTAGCAAATTATATTATTGTTCGTCAGTTTGGGCGAATACCACAGATAGTAAATTAAGAAGCTGCAAGGCATACAAAACTTTGCTGCTCGAATCGTATGCAACGTTAGGAAATATGACCATGTGTCTCCCTCTCTTAAAAGCTTAAATTGGATTCCCGTTAAATCAAACCTTTACCTAAGAGACACCGTCATGGCTTTTAAGTGCATGATGGGTCTTGTACCGGAATACCTAAGTAATAGGTTTATTCTTAGGGGTAGCAATAGTTGTCGAGTGACCCGCAGTTCACGGAACTTGAAAATTGTACTCTGTAAAACAACAACTGGCCAGAGGTCCTTTTATTATCGCGTTGTAAGTATTTAGAATATTATTAGCCATAAACTTAAATCAAGCCTTAGTGTAGCTAGTTTTAAACGTAATCTTAAATCAGACCTTTTAAAAAAATTCTTGACATGATTCAGCCCGAGTTTCTGTTCTTATAATTAAGTTATACTATAGTTCTAACACTCTATAAATTATTTTTCGTGATTGATATTTTATAAGGTATATAGCATTACTCATTTTAACCATTACCATTTTTTTTTTTATTGTTACTGCTATTGTCTAATCGTCATTGTCACTGAAAAGCCCCTTTGGAGAGTTGTCAATAAAATATTGTACTGTAACTCATTTTATCCTGTCGTTATAAATACTTCAAACTTTCAATACATCTTCAGAAAGTTATTTCATCGAAGCAGGTTGTTTCCACCAGACTGAGGTGGTATACAGCAATTTACAATTGACTGCCGCAGTTCACATATATGATTTTCATATATATCACATAGAGGATATTACGTGACCGCGCGGGGATACGAATTTTATCTTCGAATGCTGTATGTATCTCTCCCGATTAAGCGAAGCGAACGAGTGAGAGATACTTAATTTCAGCACGAGAAGATAAAATTCGTATCCCCGAGCGGCCAGGTAATGTTCTGTTTATTTTATAGATACTGATGAAATTTCCACATAAAACACAACTTTTTTTTTAATCATTTTCGAAACAGCAAAATAATGCAATTAAAGTGGTCACCTTTCACAAAAATGTTATGAAACTGGGATATAAAGTTATAAAGGAGAACTAAAGACAATAATACTTATATTTTATCACGAAACCCGACCTCATTTGATTTGCTTAAGATCTGTGATTGACAACGCTCCTTGCCCCATGCAAAGGTACACCTAAATACTTAACTATATATATATGACGGGCCTCGAGATAAAATGCTTATGTCACAATGCTGGCCTTTTTTGTTTCAAAAAGAAATTTTGAAAGAACCGGCTGCGCACCTGAGTGGGAAGCTCTCAAAAAGGAAAAGTCCTGTTATTACAACATTATCTATATGATAAAGTCATTTATTCATCACTTCACGGGTTTATTACACTGAGAGACAGGTCTCCGTTGGCTTGTTAGCTCAGTTGGTAGAGCACTGCACCGGTATCGCAGAGGTCATGGGTTCAAATCCGGTACAGGCCTGAATTTTTCAGTCCTTTTTTTTTTTTTTTTCACAAAAGCTCAAGTAGTGTTCATTACTGCGAATATCGCTTTGATATTCATTTGAGTGTCGGGAGTAATCCAGAATTTCTTTGGGTTTGGTTTACTCCTGGTGGCCAAGCCTTTGAACAGGAGTGAGGCTTAGGGTGACCTTGTTATGATGGAGATGTTGCTGCTTTTCAAATGCAAATCACTTTGTTATCATGTTAACTAGATACAGGTCTCTATCACAACAGGGTCACCCTTAGCCTCACTCCTGTTCAAAGGCTTGGCCACCAAGCCCACAACTGTAAAAGGGAATATTCGTCCAGACAAGAGAATATTCACATTCTCTTGGTTCAGAAAACTGGCGCTACTTCAACCTCATGATTCGCGATCGAGACTCGACTGACCATTCGCGATTTGATCACACACGTTTTCCCGTACTTTAAGCAGCTTGCTTAATTTAATTTAATTTCATAATAAGTTCTAATATAGCGCATTAAAATTGAATTCTACTCGCTTTACAATTACAATTAWCAAAAATTCAATAAAAATCCTATACATGCAATTATCGCTACCCTATCTAAACTAACGAAGTATTACGTGTTATACATATATTTGACAACGTACGATATAAAAAAATCTGGTGGCTTAATTTTTTAAAAGATAAGTTTTCAATAAGCGTTTAAAGGAGTCAACAGATTCAGCGTTTTTTATGCATTCAGTTAGTTGATTCGACAAATACGGTGCAGTGTAGGAGAATGCTCTTTGCCCATACGTTTAAGTTCGAATTGTTGGGACCTCAAGTAGATTTGTATTTGATGAACGGAGGTTTCGTGCTGGAATAGATCGACTAAAAAGTTCAACAAGATAGGTTGGAGCCATGTCATTTAGTGCTTTGTATGTTATCGACAGTACCTTGAATTGAATTCATTTTGTGACCGGGAGCCAATGAAGTTTCATAAGTATAGGTGTTATACTGTCTCTTGATTTAGCACCGACCAATAAGCGGGCAGCTGTAATCTCTTTGTAATCTTTATTCATTTAAACACGATCAATTTATCAGCCTATAAAAATACATATCACATACGCTAAGATATTTAAAATTCAAACTACATACTATAACACTAAAGCTGTTTTCCGTGAATGCCGTGCGTTAGACTTAAAAGAATGTCATTGATCTTACGTTTAAATAACCCCAGAGACTCTGTGTTCTTTATATCGCGTGGTAAACTGTTCCATAATGTAACGCCATTG